AAGATGGCCTTAGATGCGTTGAAGATGGCCTTAGAGGTTTAGTAACTCTAGTGGACTACCTTTCCACCCTAAATTGGCACACGCAATCGACATGCCTCGTCCCAGTACGAATTTTCGGTCATTGCGGCAACACTTCGTGCGAGCCTTGAGTGCGTCACTAAAGATAAAAGAAAATTTCACTTTCACCACTTATGTTCTTTTGTTTGCTTTTGTTTTGCTAAATGGCACTTAAATCCTTTGATTAACCTTGTGTGGAAATCCATGATGATTGCCGTGCTCTCTTAGTAGATCTGCTTGGTAGATCCTAATGTTGTTACATTTTGTCCTTTTATGTGCTGGGTGTGGATAGCCAGTTGGCAATGCTTCCTCCGTTTCCCTTTCCACATTCCCATTTCTTAAAAATAATAGGGCGGTTGGAAACTTTAAATGTTTTTTGGGCTAGAAAGTTAGCCCATCCTTTTTAGAACAACTTTAGCATAGTGTCATTATGTGGACAGGGAAGTCCCTTCTATCATCATCCAGAGATCGCACCATATGATTTTCTTTCGCTAGAGGAAGTGTTTTTTAAGAGTAAATTACGATGACAGTATGTGAACTTAATATAGTACTTTCCGTTTCATACTATAAGACTTTATAAGATTTTCTAGCATTGTTAATATTTATATATATGTTAATGAATCTAGATATGTGTGTGTCCTGTACGAATCTACTTGGCTTTCTTACCAAAGCCGGGTCATTATTAAATATAATGATCTTTCCTTAAAAAAAAGATATATGTGTGTGCCTAGATTCATTAACATCTATATGAATGTGGATAATGCTAAAAAATCTTATAACCTGAAACGGAGGTAGTAGTATACAATTATACAAAATGCTCATTCTAGTGCACAAGTTTGCGTGTTTTATATAAGCATAGGACAAAATGGCAGACCTTGACTATCTGAGTTAGAAGCTGAGTGATCGATTAGGATGTCGCGCGCATTTGTGAGAAGGACATAAGACATCTATATTTGCAAATAAGCTCTATACTTGGTTTCTATTTTATCGTTCCTTTGTTTTCTATATGTATTTCTCTGTACAACCTGGGAATCTTATTCTATATTTAATTGAGCACATCCAAATCTATGTGACATAATTTTTACGTGAGTGTCTACGTGACATCAGTGGCGAATCCAGGATAGAAATAGAGGATAGGCTCAACTTTAAAGCATTAAGGTAAGTTATTCACACATATATGATTGAAAAAAAAAACCACATTAAGGTAGTTATTCACACATATATGATTGAAAAAGAAACCGTAAAAAAAATACATTGCTACTTAGGAAATGAGTGATTGCATATTTGCATCCTTTTCCACACTATATTCCAACCAATCAAATTTATCTAATGAATTCCATTGAAATGATCTCCATCTCATCAGTTGGAAGGGTGCCACTTGAATCGTTTTTAAAATAATTTAACAATGTTGTTTTCTTCTCCATAGCTACTAATCTACGAAAAAATCAAAGCTATGAGACAATGAGGCTTCAATTCTTGTAAATCTCATTATCTAGCATTCTAGCTACTGCTGCTGAAATAAAAAAGAATAAAATATGGAGTGAGGAATCACGGCTTGGCTGCCTTTGCATTTGGAGCTTGCTCTGCTAGTTGCTGACTTTGCTGCTGCTCGTCTGCTCTGCTCGCCCGCTCGCCGCTCGGCACTACGGGTCTACCGTCTACGGCGCGTGGTCGCATCGCTGCCTGCGTCCTATGGCCTGCCCACGCCGTGCCGCCGCTTGCGTGCCCTGCTGCTCGGCAGCTCGCTGTTGCCGAAGCAACGCCGCCGGCCACCGCCTTGACCGTCGCCACGGACGGCATCACCAACGCCCCTCCCCGCGGGTTGTCGTCGGCCTCCTCCCCCACCCCTCCCCGTGGAGCCGTTGCCGGCGCACCCGGCGGCAGGTGGGAGGGAGGGCGTTGGAGCAGTAGCGACGGTGACCCCCTTCTCTCTCGCTCTCCTTCCTTCTTCAAGCGGTGTGGCGACGAGGAGCAGCCGCGGAGCATATGATTCCGGCAGCAGAGATGGCGATGACATGCAAGAAAAGAAAAAAAAGAAACAGTCCAACACGTTAGCTGGGCCAAAAATAAGTCTAATATTACCGCTCGGTGCAAGCACTCACGGCCGATCATGTTATAGGGCTCATTCGTTTTAGAGGAAAAATGAAAGGAAAACAAAGTATTTATGTACTATTCATCCATTCGTTTTGTAGGATTTGAGCAAAGAAAAAGCATAGAAAAATTTACTTTGGCTATGATTCTTATTTCTTAAGGAATTACATAGGAAAATTTGAGCAAAGGAAGAGCCCTTTTTTCTATTTCTACGGCGTAGGATCGAGGTATATCACTTCTTATTCTATGTATTTGGCTCAAGTTGCATGGATTAAAAGCATTTCAATCTTGATCATGTTAACTTAATACTAAGTATTCCGGTATTTTTTCCTACCAACCAACCAAATGATTAAATTCTATATTTTTCCTATCATTTGTTTTGCACATACATACCAACCCAATCCCTATCGTTTTCCTATTTCTATAATTTGATTTGAAAATCCTGCAAACCGAACGAACCCTTAGCCTTTTTGCTCTGTAACTCTGTTGGTGCCTTCCGACGCAGGTGAGGTCATCAGGCACGGGAGCCGGGAGGTGGTGGCTCGAGGGGGGTAGGCGAGTGCTCGATCTGTGGCTCGCGAATACGTTGGTGGCATAGTTATTGAGACCGGACCGGTAATTGAACCAGTGAGGCTCTTTGTTCGATGGTTCATTGGTCTAACCCGATTCAATAGTTATTAAATATATTACTCATTCCTTTCTAACAGATGATGATAGCCTGGTGGTTGGTGAGCTTCATCCCTCCAACGAGGTCCTGTGTTCAAATCCCTCCAAAGCAGGCACCACGGTTTTTTCTCTGGTTCTATAGCGGTTTTCCATAAAAACCGGATGCTCTAACCGGTTTATATCAGCTTGATTGCATATCCGGTCTTTTAACTGAACCAAACCGGCTTCCCTTTTTTTTCGGTCTGACCGCCAGTCCGGTCCGGTCTTAATAACTATGGTTGGTGGGGGTTAGAGTCACACCTACTCCCGCGCACATAAGACCGGATGCTCTAACCGGTTTATACCAGCTTGATTGCATATCCAGTCTTTTAACTGAACCAAACCAGCAGAGGCCTGGTTCCCCTTTTTTTTGGTCCGACCGCCGGTCCGGTCCGGTCTTAATAACTATGGTTGGTGGGGGACGGGGAGAAGATGAGTTAGAGTCACACCTACTCCCGCGCACATAAGGCCGGTTCAACCACAGTTTTTTCTCTGGTTCTATAGCAGTTTTTCATAAAAACCGGACGGTCTAACCTGTTTATACCGGCTTGATTGCATATCCGGTCTAAACCAAACCGGCAGAGGCTCTGGTTCCGGTTTTCTTCAGTCCGACCACCGGTCCGGTCCGGTCTTAATAACTATGGTTGGTGGGGGACTGGGAGAAGATGAGTTAGGGTTACACTAGTAATTGGCGCAAACTGGGCCGTTTAGAAGTGGGCACAGGTTAAGTAACTTTGTCAAGAACTGAGGAAAGATCGGCAGACAGCAGAGCACACCAGGTACACTTCTATCAAAAACACACGCGGAAGGAGAGGGAGAGAAAATTCCGGTCAGAGCATGAACAAGTCACGTCACGCGGCTCGCTAAGGGCATGATTAGCTGGGCACAAAATTTTACCCCTTATACCACATCCGATATACGAATATACATTTAAAATATTAAACATAGTCTAAATAATAAAATAAATTATAGATTCTACCAGAAAACTACAAGACGAATTTATTAAGCCTAATTAATCAATCATTAGGAAATATTTACTTTAACATGACATTATCAAATCATGACGCAATTAGGCTTAAAAATTTATCTCGTAATTTCCTAGCGAACTGTGTATTTATTTATTTTTCTACATCTAATACTCCATGTATGTGACAGCGTGAAAAATTTTGTTGGGAACTTAACTAAGCCCTAAGTCGCAACACGAGCGCACCGCACCGCACAGCACACGGGACGTGCCTGCCATACCCGATCGACTCGTGCGGGCTTCCAACACGTTTATCCATGGAAACGAAACGAGAGATCCTGCTCCTGCCCACTGGAGTACTACCATCTCCCGTCTTCGTCTGTGCCCACGTGCTAGAAAACTAAAAGACGACGTGCGTTCGATCGGCTGCTGCGCACCGAACAACGAATGGTTGGGAGATGAGCAAAGTGAAGTGGCACGAAAGAGATGGGTCCGCGGGGATCGGATTCCATCCTTTCGTACTTGGCTTTCTTTCTCTCCGACTCCGACGCGCGCGGGCGCGGGCGAGGGCGAGGCCGGGGACGACGGGCCGGCCGCCATGTGCCGCGCGCCTCCACGAGCCCCCGCTTCCAAGCCACGGAAACTTGATGGCTGAGCACTGGAGCAGGCTGCGTTCGCAAGGCAAGTACTACGTAGAAAGGCGCTCTTTGCCTTCAACACATGAGTACATGACAGGCTTGGAATCGTGGTATACTGGTATTGGTATCCGCGGGTTGTGATGTGCGCGCGATTGCATGCTTAGCTTGGATGCAAACCATCAGTTTTAATCGAAGGTACGGTGAGAAGATACAAGGTGATTACGCGGAATTTTTGGAGGTTTGCATCGCTATGGCCTAAGGGACACCAGTGACAGCGTGAAGGAAACGATATCATACATGCACGGAAACCTTCCAAATGTTTGACCCTGTCGAAGTATTTAATGAGTTGCATTGGCAAAGGAAGTAGGAGTACGTATTGGCCGTTCAACTGGAACTGGAACTGGAATAATTGAGTAGTACTCCATTTCCTAATTTTCCCATGACTACTTGTGATGTTCAAGGCCGTTCGTCAGAACTCAGAACAGGTTACAAGTGAAATCGAACTTGTACAGACTAATAATTCTGAATAGTTCGAAGAATGAAAATTATGCCGTACTGAATATTGGAGTATTCCCTTTTTTATAACAGAGTTTTATCTAATCGTTTTTTCCCGAACGAATATCTAATCCTTTTGTTCCGTTATAAATAAACAAGAAACAACAATCTCGTCAAGCCTTTGTCAGTGCTTCAATTCTCTTCGAGATACACCATAACCGAATTAAAAATGCACTGTATTTTCATCACTCTACCATAATCGACTTGAAAATGCACTGTATTATCATCACTCTGTACCAAAAAAAAATGCCACAAATTCACATTGATTCGATCCCCTCCCTTCCCCTCTCGATCAAAAAGATCCTTTTTTGGGCCGCCTAACTCCTGAATATCAAATTAATCTCTCTTCCTCTTTTAATTATTAATATTCAATCAATCATTGAAAGTTGCCTAATGATGCCGTACCTGTCGCCATCGCCATTGCCGCCGGCGGCTGCTCGCCTCGCCTTCCAGTTCTCGTACTCGGGGTCATCGGTGGGCAGCTCATGGCGGCACAGCGGGCACGTGTTGCGGATGGCGAGCCACGGCAGGATGCAGCCGTCGTGGTAGAGGTGCGCGCAGGGCAGCCTCCTGGCCCGCTCGCCGGCCTCCATGCCGTCCTTGCACACCGCGCACTGCGTGTCGCCGCGGGCCGCGTCGACGACCACGGTCGGGAGGCTCTCCACGGCGGCCTTCGCCGCCGCGCGCGCGCCCTTGGCGGCGGGGGGCTCGTGCTCCGCGGCGAGCTGCCCGAACAGCACGTCGTCGGCGTCGTCGAGGAAGAACGTGTCGATTCCACCGTCGTAGTCGGCGCCGTCAACCACGAGGCTCCCGAGGCTGTTCGTGGCCAGGAGCACCTCCCACTCCAGGCTCCTCACCGCCGCCGCGGCCTCCTCCTCCTCCTCCTCCACCCTGATGCCGACCTGCTCCCACTCGTCGCCGCCGCCGCCGTTCACGCCGATGTCCCACCTCTGGTGGTCGGGCTCCTCCAGCTGCAGGCAATCCCAACAGAGAGGCAACTCCACCTCGCCCGGCGGCGCCCACTCGCCGCCATCGTGGTCATCCTCCTCACGGAAACCGAGCCCGAAGAACGCCGACGCGGCGCCCTGCGGCGCAGGGCAGTGGTCCACGTGGGGAGGAGGAGGAGGGAACAAGGCGACGTCGGAGTCGGAATCAGACAAGATGGCCGGGAACGGCGGCCAGAAGGAGGGGAAGGAGACGGTGTCCGACGGGCCCTCGTCGTAGCCGTCGTCATCGTCGGAGCAGCCGCCGGCGGCGAGCGGGATAAGGAGGCTGCGAGGGAAGGAGGAGGAATCATTCGCCATTGGGCAACGACCGAGGTTGGGGGGACGGGGGGGACGTTTGCGCTGTTCCTCTCCTCTCCTTTTCTTTCTCCGCTTGGCGAGTCGCTACACCTCTCTCTATTTTTTTTTTTCTCTTCTTTTTCCCTTGCTTTTCGGGCGCTTTACCATTGGATTGGGTTTGGGTTGGTGTACCGGACGCCCCGCGCCGTGAGAGGAAGGAGACGAGATGTGCGTGTCAGTTGTCAAATCGACCAGCTGGTTGGTGGGCTGGAGAGAGGGATAGAGTGAGAGAGAGCTGTCGGCCCACGAAGACACGGCCCATTAGGTCCATGAAATCAAGGTTGATTCGATGCCCCCACATTATCATGAATATTTTTTATTTTTTGAACATGTTTATTTTTTTAATTTTGAAACTAAATTATCCTAAAACTTATTTCCAAATCTAAACCTATTGATCGTGTCAAGCTGGTGTGAAACAATACTAACACGTTTCACGAAAGATACAAATTTTAAAAATAAGTTTTGAGAGGGTTTATATATTTTTTTAAAAAAAATTGAAAAGGTTCAAGAGAGGATAAAAACTCCATTATCAGCTGTCATTCTTATAAAGTTTCATCCTTGCATATCCACGCATCAATGGCTTCCCCTTTTATCACATTTAGCTTTTCGGAGGCATATCCGGCAATCTATTAAACGAGAGATTAACTGAGTGATCAATGCCATGCCTAACTGAGACCAAATACCCCTGATACTACGCACCAAATCAAGTATAAATCCACCGTGTATTCGTAAGACAGACTTGCAGTTGCAGGTGGTTGTTTTGCAAGGGAGGAGGGATCAATGGAGCCGGACCGCGTGATGTTCCTAGTAGCCATCATCGGCGCTCTTCTGCTCTCTTCCTCAGGTATACGGAACTTCTCCGATACAATTTTTTGAGTCCTAATTGACTAATCCAGGAGGAAAATGGATCAATTTTGCAGCCATGGCGACGACGGCGGAGGGTGGCGGCGACGTCCCGCCGCCGGGCGGCGAAGCCTGCAGAAGGGTGTATGACCCGCCGGACGAGAACTGCGATCCGGACTCATGCAAGGCGATCTGCTCCCTCCGGTATAACGGCGTTGGTGTGTGCGATCCTGTTGGCTGCCAATGCACCTACTGCCATCCTCCGTCGCCGCCGCCGAAGTTTAGGACTTCGGGCCAATGATGGCACCTCACCGGATTGTTCATGTGCAGACTAAAGTGAAATAAACAGCGATGATTTCTGTGATCTGTGCGGTAGATGAGATGTGGGCAATTGAACCATTTTTTACCCAAAAATCACATGCAATTCGTGCGGTCAAAATCTGTTGTTTTATTTTACTCGCCTTGTTTTTGGTACGAAGTTGAGCTAATTTCGGTCTCGTTTCTAGCTAATGGGTCTATTACTTGGCCTATCTCTACTGGGCCTATCAGTTTTATTTTGTTTTGTTTTTAAAATTATTAAATTTTGTTCCATGTGCCACTTCAGATAAAAACTGAGTTAAATTAGCCAATAGACATCACGTCAGCTAAAGTCATCATGGGACTTATATTGTGACAGTTAAGGTTTTAATCGGATTCGTAGGCAAGGGACCTGAGATGAACTTATTCGTTTCGGTCTAGTTTCTAAAGGATAATGGACCTATTATTCGGCCCATCTCTACTGGACCTATAAGTTTTGTTGTAGATAAAGTGCATGCCGATTCCTTCCGGAATAAGTTCACTTTGTGACCCTCAAAAGTGATCGAAATCTAATCCGTGACCCTAAACCACAAAACCGGATATCTCGACCCCCCAATTCTCAAAACCAGTGTAATTTGACTCCTTCGGTGGTTTTGGAGGGCGGTTTCGCTGATGTGGTGCCTACGTGGCAGTGTTGACTCGGACTCCTTCCCACGTGGCGTTGACGTGGCATTAGAAATAAAAAATATGTGTGGGACCCATTTGTCATTCACCGTGGGACCACTGACAGGTGGGGCCCACATAAATCATCCTCTCCTTGTCCTCCCCCCTCTCTTTCTCTTCCATTCGCTGTCCGTGCGCTGGCAGGCGGACCCCGCTCGCCAGGAGCTTCTTCCACCTCTATCCGTCGTCTGTTCATCTCTCCAGTGAAACTCAAGTACTGCCGTCTCCGTTGATCTCCCTGCCCTATCGTTTCTCCTCCAAATTATTTGCAAAAATCGATTCCTTGTGTAGTGGGCATCAATTTCCCCAACAAATCCCACTTAATCCCGCACTAAATCGCCCCCAATCGATTTCTTAAACCAGTGTCTTCAATAGGGAGCTCCACCGTCGCCGGCGCCGTTTTCCGTCCGTGTGGTCCACCTCCTCCCCTCCAGCCTATATAAAGAGAACTCCGATACCTGCTCTTTCCCATCTCCTGCATCGCGGTGGAGATTTCATAATTAACAGGTGGTTTTCACCGTGCTTTTGTGGTGAATTTGCACCGGATGGCTGATTTTCTTTTTTTTTTTTTGTTTTCATTGGTGGGTCACGACTTACGACGCAGACCCTCTCGGCGGCTGCGCGCATGACGTCGTCGACGAGCTGCGGCATGAAGCATTGGGCCAGGGCGCCCGAGCTGCAGCCAACGCGGAGCTCCGTGGCGGTCCAATCCCGTCAGGCTCCCAGGCCCAAGGCTCACGCACTTGCACGACCGGTCGATCTCGCCTCCAACGGCGTCGGGGCTGACCTCCGTGGCGGTGGCGAGCTTAGCTCCCGCCGCCGCTCCAGCCCATGCTCCCCGCGGCCGGCGGAAGGGGAGAGAGAGAAGGAAAGAGAGAAGGGAGGAAGAGGGGAGGAAGAAGAAAGAGAGAGGATGACATGTGGGGCCCACATGTCAGTGGGCTCCACATTTTTTTAAGTGTGTGAATGACAAACGGGTCCCACGGATACTTTTTAATTCAAATGCTACCTAAGCGCCACGTCAACCCCATAGACTAGGTCAACACCGCCATGTCAGCGCCACGTAAGCAAAACCGCCCTCCAAAACCACCTAGGGAGTAAAATTGCACCGGTTTTAATAGTTCGGGGGTCGAGATATCCGGTTTTGCGGTTTAGGGTCATGGATTAGATTCGAGTAACTTTTAAGGGAGTCAAAGTGAACTTATTCCATTCCTTCCAATTCTACTGGCGGTTTTGCAACTCACGGCCCAATTTGAATTTACGGTGTTACCCTTCCTCGGCTGCCCTCGCATCCTCTCTCTCTCTTTCCCATCAAATCGTCGTCCCCAAATCGGAAGCCGCCGAACCCTCGCTTCTCGGGGACGCGGAGCGGCCAGCCGGCCACCTTCCACTGCCTCGAGCTCCTCTCCTTCTCCGGGTTGGTGTGGCGTGGAGATCCATCCTGGCCGACCTCTTTCGCTAGGTGAGCTGAGCCCTAATTTGCCCGTGTCGATGTCACTTTCGTATACTTTGCCGTGGTCTTTTCTAGGGTTCTCCTCCTCCCATCCTAAGTGATCTGCGCCTGATTGCTATCCGCTGATGTTTTTTATCTGTTCGATCTCTTTTCTTAATACTAATGTTATGCTCGACTTATAAATATCCAAGTTTTATAATAAAACCTGTAGTTTTGTGATAACTTTGTTACTAAATCTATAGTTTTGTGATATTCCATCTTAAAATTTGTAGTTATGTGGTAGATTTAGTGTTAAATCTGTAGTTTTGTGATAATTTAGCTAAAGCATCCGTAGTTTATGAAATTTACTTACAAAAACAAGATAAAAGTGGAGTACTCGAATATCTTCCCCTTGCGCCATCTCGCGGTTGAACAGGGGAGGGGCGCCGATCTCCATCTGGCGAGCAGGGGAGGGGAGGGGGGGGGGACGATCCTGGTGAGCATCCACATCATCTGATTCATCTCTCTCCCACCGGTAGTACTTAATGTCTGGAATCTGGAAGAAGCTCCTCTTAATTTCAGAGCCTTAACCTGTGTAACAGTTTGTTTGTTCCCCCAAAAGTTTGCTTATGTCTGGGTTGTGGATGCAGGCGAGATGTCTGAGTACCAGAACGTCGTTGGGGGTAGGCTCAAGCTGAAGGGGAAGGCGCTGGATGTGAAGGAAGGGGGAGTCAAGAAGAAGAAAAAGAAGAAGCAGCACCGCGAGGAGTCATCTGAAGCCGGGCACGGAGAGCTTCACCAAGGTAAAGCTCGTTGTTCTATTGAGATTGCTAAACGACTAAGTGTGGGTTAGGATTTCGTTGGACTTATTACTTTGTTATCCGCACGCTAACTGCAATAGTTCATATGCTCTTGAGTACTAGTAATTTATTTTAGAGTAAATTTCACAAAACTACAGATACTATGACCAAACTATCACAAAACTACAGATTTAAGGAGTTGTATCACAAAACTACACATTTAGCACCAAATTTATCACAAAACTACACATTTAAGATGAAGTGTCACAAAACTACACGTTTAGTAACTAAATTATAATAAAACTACAGGTTTAGAACCAATTTAATCACAAAGTAATAATGTTTATAGCTCCACCATAACAATAGTGCTAGGATTTAAACTCTAAAAGTTGTAGTTTTGTGATAAGTTCAATATTAAATATGCATTTTTGTGATACTTAACCTAAAATATGTAGTTTTGTGATAAATTTGGTGCTAAATGTGTAGTTTTGTGATACAACTCCTTAAATCTGTAGTTTTGTGATAATTTGGTCAAAATACCTGTAGTTTTGTGAAATTTACTCTTTATTTTACATGTGCTGGCTACATGGTGGATGGAGTACTTATTCTAAACGCTCTTTCGTTTGTTATTGCAAGTTTCCATACTATTGAGTGGATTGTTGTTGCCTGTAACACGTCTATTTGCTTAAGTTTCAATACTATTGAGTTGATTAATGTTGATTTTGATCTTACTTTTTTGTGTTGAGCACTCTGTGGTTTTCACTACTGCTAGCTGACATGGTTTTTCTAGCAAGATGGATAAATATTGCGGTGGCATTACTACTTACTAGAGGAACTAATTATTAAAGGGTTTGTATTGGATAAAAGAGGGTTTGTACTGATAAGTTAGATTAGGTGCCTCAGGCAGTCAGGCTCAGCCCTCTATCCATGTCAAATATAGCTTATATTGAACAAACAAGAGCCAATTCTCTATATAGTTCATAACTGTATACCCTAAATGGTTGTGTTTGCATGGATCCTTGGACATTTAGGCCGAATTAAAGAATTAGGATTTTCAAGATTATTGTTATGATGCTATATGACAGATACTAACATATTTCCCAAACTTTTGATTTTTGGATTACCCTCAATAATATCCAATACTTTTGATTAGTATCGGATAAATCGATACAGTATTGATTAGTATTGGATAAATCGATACAGAAGAAAGCATTGAACAGGAACTTATCATTTGACAGCCCACCCAAGTTGGTTTTGTTCATTTGTCCAATATCTTAATTGCACATAGCAGCATGTTTTTTCCTGTTTGGTTAAGCAAGTGCAGCAGTATAAATTGCTTTCTGCTGAACGTACTTTATTAACCATTTGATTGCAGATATTACACACTTTTCACTTTGTTTAAGTGAACTGCATTAGTATGACTTTTGCACCTAATTTGATCAATTTTCTTCAGGTGGAAGCTCTGAAGTACCAGCTGACCCTAATGATGAATTGACTGAAGCTGATAAGATGGGAGAAGAAGGGAACCTGCAAGGCGACTATGATCACCTCACCCCAGCTGAGAGGCGTTACATGGAGCAGAAGCAGAAGATTGACATGCATAAGCTAGCCAAAGTAGCCAACAAGTCACACAGGGACCGCATCCAGGACTTCAACCAATACCTGGCAAATCTTAGCGAGCACTACGACATCCCAAAAGTTGGCCCTGGTTAACTTTGCCTATTCAGAGCTTCGCAGGAATGCTTCCTATGCTGTACCCATCCAGCCATCTGTTAGCTTGTGATGCTCCTACCTGTATTGTTCTAAAACATTTGGTTGTCTTCGAGTGTTGTATTTCGAAAACCCAAACCATGTTTAATTCAAGTGTTCGTATTCTGAGTACTGTAGTTTTCAACCTTATTGACTGCAGTTGAGTTCTTTACAATCTAATGACCAGCAGGTATCACCATTGAATTCAAACTCCCATTACGTTGACGAATATAATATATAACCTGAAACGACTGGCAAAAACACTGCGAATTGGGAAGTATTCCTGTATTGATTTCTCACGCTATTGTTACACAAAGTTACTCCTACTACTACAACAATTTATGACAAGTACTAGTTCTACGTTTACATAATGCACAATTCGGTGCAGCTGAACAAGCTATTGTTACACAAAGTTACTCCTACTACAACAACAATTTATGACAAGTAGTTGTACGTTTACATAATGCACAATTCGGTGCAGCTGAACAATGTAGTAATACTACCATACAGAATGTACGATATTATCTCTGGACAGGTTTACAGTTCAACTAAATTCTATTTTCCTAAATATTATACTACTATTAGGATGTAGTAGCTTCCTTCAAGGCTTCAGCCCTCGACTTGGAGCTAGGGGTGAAAACGGTTCGGAATTTTTCCGGATTCCGGACCTGTTTTCGAAAACGGAATCAGCCGGTCGGAATTTTTTCGGAATTTCGCGGAAACGGAATCGAAAACGGAAATATTTTTTCGGAAACGGAATCGAATATGATAATATCAGTTTCCGTCGGAACTCGGAATCGGTCGGAAAAATTCCGGAAAGTTTGTCGGAATTTCCGAAGTTAAAAAGGCCCATCCAAATAGTCCATAATTCCTCCCCAAGTTCAAACAACATTTTTAAATACTAAATGATTTCAAATGAAAAAGTCATCAACAACAAAGTTGTATAACTCATCAATATCTACAACTTTTGTTTTGATCATTTTGCTATATGACTTTGTTTCTATAATTTGAATTTGAATTTCAAATTATAACAACTTCAGACAATATTTTCAAGTACTAAATGATTTCAACTGAAAAAGTCATCAATAACAAAGTGGTATAACTCATCAAGATCTATAACTTTTATTTGGGTCATTTCTTCATCCGATAAAGTGATTTATAAGATCGTTCACAAAATGTACATATCTCTTATATAGTTTATAGACTATAGGAGATATATGTAAAATTTGTGAATAATATTACTGTCACTTTATCGGATGAAGAAATGACCAAAATAAAAGTTATAGATATTGATGAGTTATACAACTTTATTGTTGATGACTTTTTTAGTTGAAATCATTTAGTACTTGAAAATATTGTCTGAAGTTGTTATAATTTGAAATTCAAATTCAAATTATAGAAACAAAGTCATATAGCAAAATGATCAAAACAAAAGTTGTAGATATTGATGAGTTATACAACTTTGTTGTTGATGACTTTTTCATTTGAAATCATTTAGTATTTAAAAATGTTGTTTGAAGTTGTCATAATTTGAAATTCAAATTCAAATTATTGAAACAAAGTCATATAGCAAAATGACCAAAACAAAAGTTGTTGATCTTGATAAGTTATACAACTTTGTTATTGACATTTTTTTCATTTGAAATCATTTACTACCCTAAAAAATATTTGAATTGAGAGGAAGGAGGCATTATAGACTTCTCGGCGAGGGAGGAGCAAAAGGGCTGGGCCGGCGGCCCGAAGAGGGAGGAGGGGAAGGGGAAGCCGGCCCGTGGAGGGAGAGAGAGGCTGCGGGCTACGGGCTAATAGTGTATACTTTATACCTTATACCATGGTATTTTGCTGTAATTTTTTTAGAATATTTGTTATACAAATTATATGAAATTATAGAAGAATATATTTTGCTGTTGAGACTTACCAATTAGACTTCATATAATTGTGTTTTATAATGAATTGTTGACTGTTAAAACTTGAGAATTGAACTTCACAAAAGTTTGAAGCTCAGTTTGAGGGGTTTCTGTATTCCGATAAATTTTCGTTACCGTATCCACACCGGTTCGTTTTCGCTCTGTTTTCGGTTTCGATAATATTCGTTTCCGTTTTCGTTTCCGGGGTTTCCGATTCCGATTCCGATTCCGAAAAAAATATGGAAACGAAAACGATAAAGGTTGTTTCCGTCCGTTTCCGTACCGTTTTCACCCCTACTTGGAGCAACAGCCGAGACAGTCAGTTGACATGATTACTTCAAACCGAGTTCATCGCTGCTGTGTGTACATTGGTCATGGCCAAGAAAAGGGGAGCGTTTCCAAAATATCAAAAGAAATATAAGAGGGTCTTCATGTTGAATGATACTCCCTCCATTCCAAAATATAAGGCATAACCACCAAGTCCACCTTAACCCAAAAACAAAGAAAATAGTTATTATCATATTATAGTTTGGATCATCCTAATAAATACAATGCATCCATCCAATAGAATTAGAGAACATGAGTAGAGGATTTAAAAAAGTAATAATTTAAAGGAGAAGGGGTCATAGTTAAATTGCCTACATACATGCATGCCTTATATTATGGAACATATAGAAAAAGTGGTTGTGCCTTATATTATGGAATAGAGGGTGTATAAGTTTTGCGGTTTAGGTGAATTAGACATTAGAAGACAACACGATTAAAACGGAAAATAACAACTTAACAGACGATTGTCTTGTCCAAAAAAACTCAAATTTCATACCAAACAATGTAACAAAACCCAAGCTAGAAAGCAAGAACTACAGGATCTAGCATATTGCTCAGAGATTCATGAGAAACAATCAAATAACTTTGAAGACCATGAATGGATGAATCAACAATCTTGCTTAGAGATTCATGAGAAACAATCAGTTGTTTTGCTTTTTGCAAGGCTTTTATCTGAACAATCTTGGCTTTTATTCCCTCTAATATATTCGGCAAATCTTTTGCCACTTTCGGGGTTTTTTTTTTTAAAAAAAGAATGGATGCATCAACACTAGATACTTCAGATCAATTGACCTCCTCATTTTGCTTCCAGGAATCATAAAACATAGTTTAAATTAAAAAACCATCCAAAGCATATGTCAGTGTTACTACTATTATCAGATAGCATATTGCTTGGGGAATGGGGATTCATGAGAGCAATCAGAGAACTTTGAAGACCATGAATGGATGTATCAACATTAGATACTTCAGATCGATTGATCTCCTCATTTTGCTTCTAGAAATCTAAAAACAAAGTTTCGATTCAAACATCACCCAAAGCATGTCAGTGTTACGTGATATCAGATAGCATATTACTTGGAGAATGGAAATTCATGAGAGCAATCAGAGAACTTTGAAGACCTTGAATTATCAACATTAGATACTTCAGATCATATAACCTCCTCATTTTGCTCTACACAATTAAAACACTACATTGTCAATTCAAGCATTATCCAAAAGCAAGTAATACATGATCTTAGATAGCATGCTGATGTTGCATGGGATTCATGAGAGCAATCAGAGAACTTTGAAGACCATGAATGGATGTATCCACATTAGATACTTCAGAACAAACAGCCTCCTCATTTTGATTTCCATTTCCCAGCAACTAAAGGCAAAGGCACTATACATCATTCAAAACACCATAAAGGTACAACATAATAGCCACAGAATGGGAAAAAACAATGATAAACTTTATTAATTATCAGGGAAAACAAAACAAAGATTGCATTGAGAAAAGCAACCAAAGAACTTTGGTGACTGCCTATGCGTTATTAGCAGATCAGCACTAAAATTTCAGATGCAATGACTTCCGATTTTGCTTCACACCTATATGTTGGTTCTTTGAACACGATTAAAAAACTTCCCCCAAATCAACAAATGAATTGTCCCACATTACAAATAGCTACAGATCAAGAGACTAAAAATTAGTTTAACATGGAGCGATCAGAGAACTTTGAAGACCATGTACGTGTTTTCCACAAGAAAAACTTCGGATGATTTTTCCTCCTCATTTCGCTTCAGAACACAACAACAAATGCAAATGCATTAAAATGAATTAAGTGCAACCAAAATATAAGTAACAATGTGGACAGAAGAGATGATTCTGAGGAAACCGCTGGATTCCACAGAAGTTTAGAGCCCCTGTCCAATCCATGGATATAGCACCCATATATATCCTTTTCTCGCAGTTTTCCCTGTATCCAATCTCAAGAGAACAGGGGGCTAATGGTGCGAGTCGACCACAACAATACCATCAAATCCAAGAACAGCATGCGCTTAAATAAACCAATCAAACAAAAGTACCTAATTCTTGTTGTCTAATAGCTACTCCAAGGCTCTAGCAAAAAAGAATGGAGTATCAAATCAGCACACTCGAAGTAAAACCACGATTAAATCATCCCCGCAGCACAAGACCGAAGAAGGACGAGAACAATAATCGAAAAAAAAAAGAAAGGAAAATGATCGCACAGAGCGAACAGGATTGCTGAATCCTTTTTGTGGGAGGCGGGCGACTGGATGGTCATGGTCAGTCCCTCCCTGGCGGCTAGGGTTCTAAAGGGTTTGTAGAGCTAGGGTTTGTCTCCGAGGAGAGGATGAACAGTTGAGTTGTATATGGGCTGGGCCTTTCCATCTGTATTTCGGATTTTATTGGGCCTTCCATGATCTTCATAACTGTTCTTTTACGAGTACGGTTACATCTTCCATTACAAAAGTGAGACATTTCATTTCATTTTCGTTTGGAAGATTTCATACAACATATCATGGATATGCTACTGAGATAAATTTTGCGACCGGATGTACAAGATGATGTATGAAACATCATGTTCATATATGCACGGCAGCAAATATCTGCTGCTATTTACCGGTGGTATATATTTATTTACTCGATGAAATGAAAGCACTAGAATTCCACGGACATGTAGGTTGCAGAGTAGTCAGGCATCTTGTGCAGCCTCCTGAGGATGCTCTCGGCCGCCTGCTTGGCGTTCGCGTCGCCGCGGTGGAATGCGCTCACCAGCGCCGTGGGCAGCATCCTGTCGCCGGTCACCTCCCTCACGCACACGTCGTCCCCGTGCACCAGCAGCTTCTCCACCACGGAGAAACACCTGTGCCACAGGCTGTTCCCCCTGTGCTGCCTCAGCGCCGCGAGCACGCGCCTCGCCGCGCCCTGTCCGGCGAGGGCGACCACGGCCTTCTCGACGTCCACCCTGTCGTCGACGAGCGTGCACAGCGCTCCCAGCGCCGCGTCCACGACACGGGCGTCGTCGTTCTCCAGGCAGGCGAGGAGGCCCTCGACGGCGCCGGCCTCGAGGAGGCAGAATGTCGTCGCCGGCGTGCACACGCCACGGTGCACCGGGCAGACGTTCAGCGGTGGGTTCTTGCTGCTGCTATGGTTATGCACCCTTGCGTCTTTCAGGCGCTTGAGTATGGTCATCTTCTTTGGCCGCGGCTCGTCCTCCGGCGGCGGCGGAGGCCGGGACAGCTTGATGGAATGGTAGCTGAGGTTCTCGAGCCCCACGGCGGCGAGCCGTTGCACCTCGCCGCTACCGGCTGCTCCGGCGAGGAGGGCGGTGAGCACCGAGGCGAAGTCGTGGTCCATGGCCGCCTTGAGCACGTCCGGGTTGTACAGCGTCGCGGTGAGCCGCACGAGCGTGCCCACGAGGCCCTCCATGTACGGCGCGGCGTGCCTGCTCGTCGTCATCCTCGCCGCGCCGCTCCCCATCTCCTCGATCCCGCGCAGTATCGCCGGCACGGCGCCCTCCTGCACGAGGGCCAGGTTGAGCGAGACGTTCCGGTACGGTAGCCTCGACAGGAGCGTCACCGCGGCGGCGTGCCGCTCGGTGATGGCGGCGCGGCCGGCGCGGAAGATGCTCCTGACCAGCCTCCTCGGCTGGCCCTGCGTCTTGCAGAGCCTCTCGGCGATGGTGTGCCCCATGTGCGCGGACAGGGTGATGAGCAGCCTCGTCGAGGCGACGCCGAGCGCCTCCGTCCAGGAGCTCATGAGCTCCACGATGGAGTGGCCCCGGTGGTTCTCCCTGACGACCGAGACCACGGCGGCGAGCGCCTTGGCGTGCGCGGTGAGCGCGAGCAGGACACGGATGATGCTGAGGTTGAGCTCGTCGGGCATGAAGCACTTGAGCATGTGGACGAAGTTGTAGATGGAGTACTTGGACGTGAGGACGTGGCCTTCCTTGTTCACCACGGTGTTGTCCGGATCAATGCCGGACTCGACGACGTTGGCGAGGACGGCGGCGGCCATGGCCTTGTAGCTGAGCGGCTCGTCGTCTACCTTTCGGATGAAGAGCTCCTCCACCATGACCGGGACGACGCCTGCCTCGACGAGCGTCTTGCTGTTGGGGCGGTGAGAGGAAAGCTGGACAAGGACGTCGAGCGCGGCCTTACGCGCCACGGTGTTGCAGCTGTGCACCATCTTGATGAGGACCCCCGACGTGCTTCCGTTGATGTCAATGGTGAGCTCCTGCTCTTGGATTAGCTCGGCTAGGTAGCCGACCATCTCCATTTGCATCTCTTCTGAACCTGTTTAGAATTCCACATCTCAGCTCAAATTTCAATTAACTTATGAGAAGAAAAGATTCTTAACTTTGAAGTTATTTAGCTCTTATGTTAAAAGAAACATTTGGGGCGTTCAAGTGATGAAAGTTGTGAGGACACTAACATAGTAACATGTGCAGGTGACCACTGACCAGGTGCAGCAAAACAACTTTATTGAGTGATCAGTTAATCAATACATTTTCAGAAATATGGTGGAGAGATGTACTCCCTCTGTACTCGTAAAGGAAGTCATTTAGGACAATGTTTAAATCAAACCTTGTGAATATAAATCATGAATAACTTTCAAGTTGTTAAGTTTGAAAATGTAAAAAATATATGAATATATTTGTCTTGAAAAATACTTTCATAAAAGTATACATATATCATTTTCAATAAATATTTTTATAGAAACAAGAAGTCAAAGTTGTGTTTTAGAGACCGTGTCGCTGTCTAAAAACGATTCCTTTATGAGTACGGAGGGAGTAGTGTACTTATAAAGAAAACAACAATATAAGACTCGTTGTATATGACAGATGAGTTCTTACTACTGTATTTGACTAGCATAACATTTAACACACTTATGCATCAGCTTAAGTTATGAATTTCTACATAGAAACATCATTACCTTCAACAAGATGACTCTGAAGGGGTTCTAGATAGCCACTTTCAGCCATGTACTTGATGTTCTTTGAACATTTCTCTAGGTTCTTTAGGACCTCTCCAGCTTTCTGAGCAGCAATTGGATCATCAGAATCATTTATCCTCATTGTGGTGAGGATCAGGATACTTCCAGCAGTTGACCCAATATCCTCCAACAATAGCTGTGACTTTGAAAGCTCCAGCAAGAAAGAGATGGCTGCATGCCTTTCATCGGTGCCATTAGTTGACAAGAGCTTAATTGTCCGGGCAATGGCCTTAGTTTTTCCAATGATATCCTGAATACCATCATGCAAGTAATAAAATGCCATCATGAATGGTTCTGTATACCGTTATAAATAGCAGGTGAGGTACTTGAAGAGAGGACTTAGTACTTACCTTTCCTTCTTCATCCTCAACTAAAAAGCACAGAAGCTCCAGCGCGCTATGCCGAATCTGCACATTGTGGTTGTCCAACAACCGTGCTAAGAGCCTGGTGACCCCAATCTTATGCATCTGCTCCCTATTTTTCCCCCTCAGCTTTGCCAACGACTTCAGCTCATGTATGGCCTCAAGCACCATAGCCTCCGTACTTGACAGTGAGAGCGCAGTGCGGGCAATCCTGATCCGCATTGCCTCATTCCTCATTGTCCATTCTGCAATCACGCTCTTCAGGGAAGCATTGTTCATCAATGTCTTGCTTTGCAATGGCATTTTTGTGACAGGGCATATGACATTTTCAGAACTATCAGCAAACCTCTCAAAATGTTCCTCTATGGCTCTCCTTTCATATGTCACACCGCTCTCCGTTAACACAGGATCAGTCATTACCTGATTTGTCAGTGGACAGAAGAGTGCATCATACAGTGGTTCAATGTATTCTGAGACCTCTGGGAGAGAGCTGAACAAGTGGCCTCCAAATTCATCGGATTCATGGTACATTCCCTGCAGAAATTCCACTAGCCTTGGCATGTTGCTGTCATGGAAATACTTCCTATTAGGCATGCTGTTCACTGCATTTGTCAGCATATCATCCTCTAAGAAGCCCCTCACTGAGAGTGCTTTGACCGCACCATCTGTGTAAGCATTGCTGCCAAGTGCTGATGTAGGTACCCTGCCAATATAATCACATAAATTCTCGATGACACTTTCCAAGTCTTGTGTTATGCTCAATATCTCATCATCCGTAAGTTGCAGTGCTCTGGCTCTGCATCTTGCAGTGAGCTCTTTAGCAAGGTTAACACAAGCAGGTGGAAATTCTGGCATCTGTGTCACACTACTTGGGGTCCTTCGTGCTGTTTGACGCTCCATTATGGCCGCGCCTGACTCATTGAAGTTCTGCTGCCTGACATCACCACTGACTACCAGCAACATGACTGCATATGCTTACAGAAAGCATAGATAACATCAAGCTAAATATTGTTCAGACATGGTATCTCTAAAAACTAAGTGTTTTTAAAAAATCATCACAAGAGCTTGCAATAAATTAGGCTACTGAAATGATTGTTCAGATTAGACATATAATGTTTTGGTGTTATCATGCTACTATTACTTGACTAACTAAAATATACAGGATACAGCCTTTGGTGCCACTACAAGCTCACAGTAAGTGGAAGTGCACAATATAAGAACCATGACAGTAATCTGATTCCTACAGAGATAAAAAAAAAAGATCCTGAAAAGGCATTTACGAAATGCTCTTCCACATAGCCTTCAAATAAAACAATCAAGACAATAACACAGTACCTGTAGAGCTGTACTAGTAACTGGAAGCTCCAAGATCTGAACTCTACAGTGACTTCATGTAGAGTAAGTTACAGAGCGAGCCTTTTGCTGCCTCCTCTCCCCTCCAGCACTGGAACCCTGTCTTGTTCCCTGTACCACTGTATGATAGATGAATGCAAACAAACTAGACCAAGCAAAGTGTTAGGAATTTATACAGCTCTTCTATATGGCCATATGGGTTTGGTGATCCCTATTTAAAAATTGCAGTTATTTATCACATAAAAGGCCTAATGAAGCTACTGATGTCACTGAGAGAAACATGACAAAGGAAGATCAATCTTGGTGACTAGCAGACTGGCATCAGTCCTGAAACTCAGCTTAATAAGAGCTCAGGTTAGGTACTTCAGATTATCCAACAAGAGAAATACAGGTTCATAATAGGAACAAAATTAGGCGATAGGTAGGTTGGCAAACTACCGGAAGGACTATAGACTATAGTAACAATAGTATAAAGAAGAAAGTTGCTGAAAGCTATATAGAATAGATAAATAGGGGATATAGGCACATATATCACTTTAGCTAGCAAACAAGTGCGCATAGTAAAGTTTGATTGTTACAGTTCAGCATAAAGCCGTGGATCGCTAAAATTAAATGTAAATCATAATCACAGGTGATAGTCTGATGGCGATAGCAAGCTACTTTGAAAGGATTGATGAGAATAAAAATGTAAGCACATAATCACAGGGAATGCATCTAATCATCACAAAATATCAAAGTGTTGGACAGATCGATTCCAAAGTCCAAACAGCCTATACTACAGCCTATCTTCTAAATTTTCTTGCCTGAACTCAACCCAAGCTCAACTGCACAACCTACTTGCCCACAAATTTCGGCTTTACTAATCTATGCTTAAAAAAGTTGCTTCTCTAATTCCTCGATAATTTATTGATGGCTAACCTTTACAGAACGTTTACTGATTACTGACTACTACCGTTCAACGAGACGCTGAAATGCAGTGGATGCTAGTTATTGTTGAACAAAGAATGTAATATAAGAAGAGATGCCGCCGCATACGTTGATTGTTGAACAACCATAAAATAAGGACAGATCCGGTATGACAAAAAGGACATATTCTTCAGTTAGGTCGTCCCTGTGTGATTGTGTACTTGGATGCATCTACGATTGGCAGACTGCGCAACTGATGCATAAACAAATTGAGTCAATGTCAATGGCGAACTTCAGACTAAGATAGCATACCAAGTACCAAACGCGGGTCGCGGAGACATGCTTGTTCTTCTTCTTCTGACGACGCCGACCGGTTGTGCTGGAAACCTGTAACGCGTCGCATGCGCCCGGCGATGCAGCCGACGCTCTGTGTGTTGTGCGGACCGTGCCACTGACGCGACGGCAACGGGGGCGCGCCCGACACCCAGAGGGGGAGGTCGAGGGGACGGTATCGGCAGGGGGAGGCTGTCGAGGAAGATACGCCAGAACATCGGCGGCTCGCCGGCGCCGCCGCCCATTTCCGCCGCGAGCCCGGAGGTCTGGCCGGAAGGGGAGAGGATTCTGCGCTTCTATATCTGGGCCGTGTGATCAGAGGTAGACGGTCAGGATAGACCGACGGTCAAGCGGTGGAGGAAGCTTTGTGCGTAGAGGGACCCCCTGCTATTAACGCATAGTGTCAATTAGGCCCAGGGTGTCCAGCCCATCTCAACTTTCAGCCCACTTATCAAACTAAATTCGGCCCATCTTTATCCCCGTCGCTTCCTCTTTATCTCCGCACTTTGGGCCCACATATTACAGCTTAACGAAAAGGCTCACTTCAGATCCCTCGTGTTGTTGTCGAGTTCCAAAACCGTCCTGAACCGGAATCCTATGTATCTATACAAATCATCCACACTATCAGGAATTCTCTGCTTCCTGGTGCTTCCACGTCATCAGTTTTTTTCAAAACCGTTCGATCGACGACGCATCCCGCATTCGCGTCGTCCCGCATCTCGCTCGCCGGTCCCACCGCATCGCGCATCTCGCTCCGCCGGCTCCACGCCCCACCGCATCGCTCCTCTCTTGCGCGAGCGCCCGCATCGGCTTCCTCTCCCGCATCTCGCTCCGCTTCCCCCACCGCATCCCTCTCGCTGCACGCCGTGGGGACAGGCGCTGCGGCGCCACGCTGCATCGCGCTCGTCTGCCTCCCTGCATCACGCTCACGCTCGCTCCCAACTGCACCATCCGTCTCCCGTACCGCATCTCGCTGCACGCCGTGGGGACAGACGCTGCGGCGCCGCGCCGCATCGTGCTCGTCTGCCCCCTGCAACCCACTCCGCCCCTAGCAATGGCTGACTCTCCTTCTCCCGCGTCGTTCCGAATCCACATCCGAGAGAAGCGAAACCACCACCGCCGGCACCTACTAACACCTATGTCGTTTCCGCTCCCTGCTTCCTCTCAGTCTCTTCGTGGCTCCACGCTCCGCCGGGACTGGGAAAGCCGAAAAATTAAAGCGGCTTCCCAGGTTCTTGACTGTTGACATGCTCGGTGTTTGCATGCTACAAAAACAAGCCGAAGCAAGCACCGGAGCTGAAAAGATAGGCCACCTTAATAGCAGCAATCAAACCCATCATCATGCTTTTTTTCTTTTTGAGAAAGACCATCATGCTTTTTAATCAACACCATAACTGTTTAGAGCTTCCTCGATGGTGCCTTGCAGTTGGGCTGTTTGCGATCGACTTTTTTTGTTGGATCTTTGGTTGAAATTGACAACTCCCCACCTCAACGACTGCTGAATATGTTGGAAATTTTGGCAGCTTCATCGTCAAATCACGTCAATAGGTGCTAGCCTTTGAACAGAAGTTCCTTTATCGTCTCGATCCAGGTAGCGAATTTTTAATTTTTATAACTTACTCATTCTTCGTTTTAATCGATCGGTGGGTGGCTCAACTTCTATTTTCTGTTTTTTTGCAGAAACAGATGACAAATAGTCTACGGAGGTTTAATTTTTCGTCAACGCTTGAAGCGACCTTCTACATCCCTGGTGAATCAAGAAAGATCAGCCTCCCTTTTTTCTTTCAATCAATTATCCAGCACATCTTTTCCCTCATGGCAATGAAGATTATTATACCTGATTCTTAATTTTCCTACTTCATTTGTTTGTGACTAATGAGAATTATGTTGTCCTTACTCTATTTTGCCCAGTTTTTAACCATCAATTCTTTTTATTCTAATGGTGCAATGACATCAACTGAATTGATCAAGAACAAAGGAAGAGTGAACAGTGCAATAGTGCACAGGTATGTGATTGTTAACCTATTTTATATTTAGGAGCTTTTTATATTCTCTATTTTATTTCTTATTATGCATCCCTTCACAAAGGTAGTATTCCTATACTTGAGTATCTTATGAAGCATTCGCGTATGAACTATCTGTGTTGTGTGGATCCTCCTCCCTATTGCTTCCATAGTTCCATATGCATCAAAGGTTGCATATTTCTTTAGTTTATCAAAAAGGTCTAATTTCTCTTTGCTAGGTAATTCACCTGATGGTGTGTAGTCCTATTGTTTGTGGCAAAATGGATTTTCAAATGGGTTCGATCATTGAATTACATCACCTTTTGCTAAGAAGTTAACTAGATACATACGATTTGATCTACAGTTGAATACAATCTGTTGATCTACAGTTGAATCTAGACTGCAACTTCAAAAGATACTTGGTATTTGATCAGTCCCATTGTACTTATACTAAAATTTTAGAAGCAGATCGATGGAAATGTTTAACAGTTTAAGAACGAAAGGAACCTGATAATCAAGTGACATTGGTATTCCAGTTCAGGGAACTCAAGTGAACTTTTTCACAGCTAAATTCTTCCCGTCTATCCATACGGCCCACTACAGGCCCACTTTTTTATGGGCCAATTCACAACCCAAAACCCTCCTACCATCGTCGTCCTTCCGCTCGCGCCAGCAGCGGTGGCCGTTGCCGACACGTCCGTGCGCGGCGCCGGAGCCGGCACGGGTTCCGCCGTGGCTTGGTGGCGCTACAACTTCAGGTGATTTAGGCATGCCATGTAAAAGCGGGCGGTGTGGCCGGTGGCTCGCTTGAACTTCAGCTGATTTAGGCTTTTAGCGAGTGGTGTTAGTTGCTAAATCAGGAGTCGTCTAATTATAAGATGCCTCGTCTCGTCCGGCCAAAGCGCCACCATGCTTGTCCCTCCCCTTATTTTCTCGCCATCGATAGCCTGCCTCGGCGTTTTCCGGTCGCGAGGTTAAAGGGGAAGAACTGAAGAAGGAAGGGAACCCATCACCTCATCAAATCTGCCTGTCTTGATTGTGCATTTTGGACTCTTCGATCCATGTCTGCGTGAAGAATTTTCAGCTTCTACTCAGTAAGAGATCAAAACGCGATTTAAAAAAACTGGAATTCCGTCCGCGCAAATCCACGCGTGGATCAGCGAGGATGGTGATGCCAATGCCGACGGAGGGCAGCGAGCCACTTCTCCCGAGGAAGCAGAGGGACGGCGGTGACGACGGCGCCGCCTCGTCGCACGACCACTTCGACGGCGCGTCCTTCTCCGGCGCGGTGTTCAACCTGTCCACCACCATCGTCGGCGCCGGCATCATGGCGCTCCCGGCCACCATGAAGGTGCTCGGCCTCGTGCCGGGCCTCATCCTGGTGATGCTCGCCGCGGTGCTCACGGACGCCTCCATCGAGCTCCTCGTCCGGTTCAGCCGCGCCGTGGGCGCCACCTCGTACGGCGAGGCCATGGGCGACGCCTTCGGTGCTTTCGGCAGGGGGCTCCTCCAGCTCTGCGTCGTCGTCAACAACGTCGGCGTGATGGTCGTCTACATGATCATCATCGGTATGGTTTCATCTCAGCATGCATTGCTTAGCTTAATCAATCGATAGTTTAATTTAGACTGTTCGGTTGAAGAAATTTTGTGAAATGATGGGCTCTCTACTCATTTTTACGCAAGGCGATGTGCTCTCTGGGAAGTCATCCAGCGGCGGCGTGCACCATCACGGCGTGATAGAAGGATGGTTCGGTCCAAACCGGTGGAACGGCCGCTTCTCCATCCTCGTCATCGTCACGCTCGGTGTGTTCACTCCACTGACATGCTTCAAGCGAGTCGGTGCGTACATGGTTGCCCGGCTCAACCACACAAAGCTACAGTTTTTTTTTTCAGTCTGAACATTTCGTTCTGACTCTAATGGCTTGTGTTCTTTTTCCCTGAGATGAGTTCAGATTCACTGAAATACACGTCGGCCTTATCGGTTGCTCTGGCCGTCGTGTTCGTGGTGATCACTGCCGGAATCACCACCATCAAGCTGATGAGAGGGCAGATTCCGATGCCTAAACTGTTCCCTGATGTTCATGACTGGAGCTCCACCTGGAGACTTTTCACTGCAGCTCCAGTTCTTGTGACCGCCTACATTTGCCATTACAACGGTACATTTTAATTACCAGCTATAAGTTTGCATTTTTATGTGGAAATGTGATTAACTTGGCACTAAATTCAGTGCACCCAATTCACAACGAGCTCAAGGACCACTCCCAGATCAGGCCAATAGTGCGGGCGTCGCTGCTGCTCTGCTTGGCCGTGTACACCACCACCAGCTTCTTCGGCTTCCTCCTCTTCGGCGAGGCAACGCTGGACGACGTGCTCGCAAACTTCGACTCCGACCTCGGCATCCCCTACAGCTTGGTGCTCGACGACGCCGTCAGGGTCAGCTACGTGCTCCACCTCATGCTCGTCTTCCCCATTGTGTTCCACGCGCTGCGGTTCAACATGGACGGCCTCCTCTTCCCCTCGGCGAGGCCCCTCTCTTCCGACAACCGGAGGTTCGGCGCGATCACGGCGGCGCTCCTCACGGTCATCTTCCTCGCCGCCAACTTCGTCCCCAACATTTGGGACGCGTTCCAGTTCACTGGCGCCACTGCCGCCGTCGCCATTGCCTACATTTTCCCTGCTGGAATGGCACTGAGGTGAGTGATGACCAACTGAACATTATTTTTTTCTTTACTTAGCTCAATCTCATACTCTCCCAAAATAAAAAATAAGTGCAGCCATGGTTTTCCGCGTTCAATTTTAACTGTTCGTCTTATTTGAATTTTTTTTAAAAAAAATTAAAAACATAAGTCACGAGTAAATTACTGTTCATGTTTTATCATCTCATAACAACAAAAATACTAATTATAAAAAAATTTCAAATAAAACGGACGATCAAAATTAGACGCGGAAACTCATGGCTGCACTTATTTTGGAACGAGGGTAGTACTAGTCTACTAGATGGTTAATTTTTTTTAGGGGCAATTGTGTTTCTGCCCTTGCTTTACGATTCAATTGTGATTTTACCCTTGTTTTTTAAGGTTTGTGATTTTGCCCCTGCTTTTTTGAAATGAAGGAGCCGCCTGCCCCTACTCTGTTAATTAGTGGTAACGGTGTTAAATGTGTGGTGAATAGACAAACATACCCCTGGACATGTTTTGGTATACACACTGGATATGTTTCAAGTTATTTTTGTGCCAATTTCATATAAACGATGACAGAACACAGTTTATAAAGTAGTACATACTTATTACATATGATTGCAACATTGCACAAGATCAAGGTCCTTTATATTGGGTAAGCTACAGAAACAAGATTGAATCACAAGCATGGCGTAGCAAATCAAGAACCCCAACTTCATTATCTAGAAAAGAAAAAAAAAAATCAAGAACCCCAACCTGCGTTCGGTTCTGGGTCCGCGGATGTGGATGAACTAAGGTGGCGGGCTCCGGCTTGGAGGAGGAGGAGGCCTCCACCGCTGCCTGTATGGCGCCGACGGTGACATCTCTGAGCCACCTGACGTTGCCTCGGAGGGTGGAAGCCGTGGAGCTCCGGTCGACGAACGCCGGAAGCCACAGGAGAAGGCCCGCGCCCGCGGCTCCGTCGGCTGGACGACGTGCTCCCCGGCGGTGTTGTCGATGAGGGAGGGAGTCGCGGTCGCGACGTCGTCAAGCTTCCTTTAACAGCGCCATCCCGCCGCCAAGCTTCCTGCTCGCTGCTTGCTGGCTCGCTGGCCGACGGAGCCGCCGCTCCTCTCCGCCGTGCGCTGGCCGCCGCGCCTCCCTGCGCGTGGCAGCCGCGTCGCGCATCCCTGCGCGCTGGCCGCGGGGGGCGCCACGCCTCCCTGCCCCGCGCGCCCGCCGGTCCGCCGCCGCGCCTCCCTGCCCGCGCCCGACTCCACCGACTCCGCCGCGCGCTGGCCCGCGGCAGCTGCCCCGCGCTGCCGCCGCCGCCGCCGCTTGCAACCCAGCTATAGCGTTTGGAGTGGAAATCGGGAGTTCGGGACAGGGATTGGGGATTTGCCTCTTTCATTGAAGGGTAGAATGGTCATTCACAAATGATAATAACATTTTGTTTCATCATTTAATTCTAAAATTTCGGGCCCACCAAACTTCTGTCAAAACCAGGGGCAGACGACTGCTTCATTTCAAAAAAGCAGGGGCAAAATCACAAACCCTAAAAAACAAGGGTAAAATCACAATTAAATCGTAAAGCAAGGGCAGAAACATAATTGCCCCTTTTTTTTATGTCACGCTCATTAGATCTCTGTGAACTTGGTTGCTTTGATTTTGCAGGGATCGCCACGGCATAGCGACGAAGGGCGACAAGTATCTCGCGGTGTTCATGATTGTTCTTGCTTTGGTGGCAAATGGAGTGGCCGTGTACAGCGACGCTTGCTTGGGGACGTTTTAGTTGGCGATCGCACATCTCCGTGGTGATCTGTGCATTAGTTAGTGCGATATGAAAAATTCGTTGTTTGCACGTTGAACTCAACCATTTTGAGTTCCATTTATAATAAGTACATATGTACAAATTGCCTGCAGGTTCTGCAGAGATAGGTGTAGATAAGAATGCAGCGGTGAAAAAAAAATTCTAAACCGTGAATTTGTAGACCTTTTCTTGTTACTGACAAATTGGTTGTTCTATACATGTCCAAACGGTACTGGACAAGAACTGATCAGTTCATGTTGATTTTGGTGATAATTAAAGTCACTGGGATTCGATTGGTGTAGTTGGCATTTCTTTTACGTAAGGTAGTCTGCATAATCAGATATTCAGATGGTGCTTTCCTGACGATAAATTCTTTTTTCTGCACGTTGGACGATTTTTTATGGGGCAATTGTAAATTTACCACCGTTTTGAATCATTATTGTAAGACTGCCACTAGAAAATTATAAAAATGCCACTAGAACTATCATTCGAGTGGCATCCTTGCAAAATTAAAAAAACCGGTGGCAAATTTGCAAATATCCCTTTTTTTTATCTGCATTTTGGTGTCACAGCAAACTACAGTACTCGGTTATTTCCATCCGTCCGATTGTGTGGAGATTATGGGTACCCCATACCCACACGGCATGGTTATCCGATTAGTTATAGGGGATAACTTATATGTATGGAATATGTAACAGATCATGACTTGGGTATTACGTTTCCTTATATATTACGGAACAGCCTAAAGTCCTGGTTTGATAATATTGTAAAGTAGATTTAGGAAACCGATACCGTATTGGTTAAGGTTTCTATCTTGTAATCCTGCCCCCCACCCTATATAAGGTGGGCAGGAGGCCCTCTAGGGGGCATGACACAACTAGATCGTCAGATCTATATTACACCCGGCGGATTCAAATCCCCAAACAGGAGTAAGGTATTACCTCTCATTGAGAGGGCCTGAACCTGTCTAAATCCTTTGTCTCCGCATCCATCCACTTTTAGGTCTCGTGCGCTACCCCCTTTTATTATTGCCGAAATCATGTTTCGACAGTTGGCGCGCCAGGTAGGGGTTGCGTCGAGTTTCCTATCAACGAGCGCGATGGAATCAATTTCATGAGTCGCCGACTTCGCTTTCGCTTTGGGAGTTTTCACTTCCTTTCCGTCGACCACTTCTTCAAGCTCCTCTTCTCTGACTTGATCCAAATCAGTCAGGGGGAAACTCAATCTGATTTTTATCATTATTTATCATATTGATTTTTAATCTCAGATTAATCTCTTGCTATTTTTTGTTGTTGTTCGCATATAATTACGCGGCACTATTGAGGCGATTGATGCTGGTCATGGACTCGAGGCGTCTCAGCTTTCCGGTCGATCGGCCGCGAGTCCACTTCGCCGGCTTGTCCTCGCCACCGCCATTGCTGATAGCAACAACGACTTCACCGCCGGCCTGCCTCCGTCGCCGCCGACTGGTGTCATCGCCTATACGGTTGGTCGGTCACACCACCGTTCATGGGCGTCCATGTCTTCACCAACCGGCTGGCCTTCGCCGCCGCCGACTGGTGTTTCCGCCTGCACGGCTGGCCTATTATGCCGCCGCTATTGGGCGTCTACGACTTCACCACCGGCCTGCCTCCGTCGCCGCCGACTGGTGTCCTCGCCTATACGGTCGGTTGGTCATACCACCGTTGATGGGCATCGTCATCTACACCGCCGGCCTGCCTCCGTCGCCGCCGACTGGTGTCCCCGCCTATACGGTCGGTTGGTCACACCACCGTTGATGGGCATCGTCATCTACACCGCCGGCCTGCCTCCGTCGCCGCCGAGTGGTGCCTCCGCCTACACAGCTGGCCTATTATGCCGCCGCTGTTGGGCGTCTACGACTTCACCGCCGGCTTGCCTCCGTCGCCGCCGAGTGGTGCCTCCGCCTACACGGCTGGCCTATTATGCCGCCGCTGTTGGGCGTCTACGACTTCACCGCCGGCTTGCCTCCGTCGCCGCCGAGTGGTGCCTCCGCCTACACGGCTGGCCTATTATGCCGCCGCTGTTGGGCGTCTACGACTTCACCGCCGGCTTGCCTCCGTCGCCGCCGAGTGGTGCCTCCGCCTACACGGCTGGCCTATTATGCCGCCGCTGTTGGGCGTCTACGACTTCACCGCCGGCCTGCCTCCGTCGCCGCCGATTGTTGCCTCCGCCTACACGGCTGGCCTATTATGCCGCCGCTGTTGGGCGTCTACGACTTCACCGCCGGCCTGCCTCCGTCGCCGCCGAGTGGTGCCTCCGCCTACACGGCTGGCCTATTATGCCGCCGCTGTTGGGCGTCTACGACTTCACCGCCGGCCTACCTCCGTCGCCGCCGATTGGTGCCTCCGCCTACACGGCTGGCCTATTATGCCGCCGCTGTTGGGCGTCTACGACTTCACCGCCGGCCTGCCTCCGTCGCCGCCGATTGGTGCCTCCGCCTACACGGCTGGCCTATTATGCCGCCGCTGTTGGGCGTCTACGACTTCACCGCCGGCCTGCCTCCGTCGCCGCCGAGTGGTGCCTCCGCCTACACGGCTGGTCTATTATGCCGCCGCTGTTGGGCGTCTACGACTTCACCGCCGGCCTGCCTCCGTCGCCGCCGACTGGTGTCTTCATTGTTATTGATGGACGACTTTGTTCCCACATTGGTCACTTCTGCCATCACCAAGGGGAATATTACAAAGCTAAGTCATCATTTATTTTATTCTTTATATGATATTTTTCCTTTTCCTCTGCCTCACTACACCAATTGGTCTTCCATTGAGTAGTGAGTCGGGGGCTATAGATGTTATATCATATTTTTTATAATATTTATCTTGATTGCTTGCGACATAATCTGAGTACAAAAGTACCTATCGAGTTATGGAGTTCTATCTTCCTATGCTTTCCGTTTGGTTTGCCAATGGATGGTTGCCTTTGGGCCGATTCCTAGCACCCGGGGGCTCGTTGGATGGACCGAGTAACGCAAGGTGCTAAGTATTACTCGGAAGAAATCAAAAGCATAGAGATAATATAATTTATTTTCTGCTCTTAATAATTGCAAAAGTACCTGAGTAGTAAATTCTGATCCGTGAAACTTTGTTCCATTAATGACGAACTCATGTCACTCATATGCATGTTTGGGAAATGCCTAGGCCGACTCCCGATGCTTGGGGGCTATGACTAGTCGGACAGAGTGTTTAAACGTACAGAGTCATCTGCTCGGGGAAATCAAAATTGACAAGAGGAGAAATACATATTTATAAATATTTTAAAATGCTTGAATTTTTTTTTCGAGTATTATATTTACATCAGGTACTACTCATCCTATATGTTTGTTCTGCAGGATCCAGATCCAGATATGCATAAAAGGGATTCATGGCTTTAAGCTTATCTCTTACGCTCTAGGAATGGATCAGTCAAAACATCACCACCGGCCGCCTCGTCCGCCGCCGACTGGTGTTTTCGCCTGCACGGTTGGCCTATTATGCCGCCGTTGTTGGGCGTCTACGTCTTCACCGACCGGCTTGCCTTCGCCGCCGCCGACTGGTGTTTCCGCCTGCACGGCTGGCCTTTTATGCCGCCGTTGTTGGGCGTCTACGTCTTCACCGACCGGCTTGCCTTCGCCGCCGCCGACTGGTGTTTCCGCCTGCACGGCTGGCCTTTATGCCGCCGTTGTTGGGCGTCTACGTCTTCATCGACCGGCTTGCCTTCACCGCCGCCGACTGGTGTTTCCGCCTGCAGGGCTGGCCTATTATGCCGCCGTTGTTGGGCGTCTACGTCTTCACCGACCGGCTTGCCTTCGCCGCCGCCGACTTGTGTTTCCGCCTGCACGGCTGGCCTTTATGCCGCCGTTGTTGGGCGTCTACGTCTTCACCGACCGGCTTGCCTTCGCCGCCGCCGACTTGTGTTTCCGCCTGCACGGCTGGCCTTTATGCCGCCGTTGTTGGGCGTCTACGTCTTCACCGACCGGCTTGCCTTCGCCGCAGCCGACTGGTGTTTCCGCCTACACGGCTGGCCTTTATGCCGCCGTTGTTGGGCGTCTACGTCTTCACCGACCGGCCGCCTCGACCGCCGCCGACTGGTGTTTCCGCCTGCACGGCTGGCCTTTATGCCGCCGTTGTTGGGCGTCTACGTCTTCACCGACCGGCCGCCTCGTCTGCCGCCGACTGGTGCTTCCGCCTGCACGGCTGGCCTTTATGCCGCCGTTGTTGGGCGTCTACGTCTTCACCGACCGGCTTGCCTTCGCCGCTGCCGACTGGTGTTTCCGCCTGCACGGCTGGCCTTTATGCCGCCGTTGTTGGGCGTCTACGTCTTCACCGACCGGCCGCCTCGACCGCCGCCGACTGGTGTTTCCGCCTGCACGGCTAGCCTTTATGCCGCCGTTGTTGGGCGTCTACGTCTTCACCGACCGGCCGCCTCGTCCGCCGCCGACTGGTGCTTCCGCCTGCACGGCTGGCCTTTATGCCGCCGTTGTTGGGCGTCTACGTCTTCACCGACCGGCTTGCCTTCGCCGCTGCCGACTGGTGTTTCCGCCTGCACGGCTGGCCTTTATGCCGCCGTTGTTGGGCGTCTACGTCTTCACCGACCGGCCGCCTCGTCCGCCGCCGACTGGTGCTTCCGCCTGCATGGCTGGCCTTTATGCCGCCGTTGTTGGGCGTCTACGTCTTCACCGACCGGCCGCCTCGTCCGCCGCCGACTGGTGCTTCCGCCTGCACGGCTGGCCTTTATGCCGCCGTTGTTGGGCGTCTACGTCTTCATCGACCGGCTTGCCTTCGCCGCTGCCGACTGGTGTTTCCGCCTGCACGGCTGACCTTTATGCCGCCGTTGTTGGGCGTCTACGTCTTCACCGACCGGCCGCCTCGTCCGCCGCCGACTGGTGCTTCCGCCTGCACGGCTGGCCTTTATGCCGCCGTTGTTGGGCGTCTACGTCTTCACCGACCGGCTTGCCTTCGCCGCCGCCGACTGGTGTTTCCGCCTGCACGGCTGGCCTATTATGCCGCCGTTGTTGGGCGTCTACGTCTTCACCGACCGGCTTGCCTTCGCCGCTGCCGACTGGTGTTTCCGCCTGCACGGCTGGCCTTTATGCCGCCGTTGTTGGGCGTCTACGTCTTCACCGACCGGCCGCCTCGACCGCCGCCGACTGGTGTTTCCGCCTGCACGGCTGGCCTATTATGCCGCCGTTGTTGGGCGTCTACGTCTTCACCGACCGGCTTGCCTTCGCCGCCGCCGACTGGTGTTTCCGCCTGCACGGCTGGCCTGTTATGCCGCCGTTGTTGGGCGTCTACGTCTTCACCGACC